CATTCAATTAAACTTACAAACTTATGCGGGCAACCAAACTTACCCAACACCAGCCACAATGCCTCGCGGTTCACCGTATCTAATGCCTTGGTGAAATCAAGCAAAAGCGACTACAAAGGCTGGTGTCGTTCTCTGCACTTCTCGTGTAACTGATGAGCCGCAAACAACAATTCTATTGTGCGGCGACCCGAACGAAATCCACATTGCTCTTCCGCTCTGTTAGGTTCCACAACCCGACTGACGAGGCAGTTGATCAGGATTCGGACAATCACCTTGCCCACACAACTCAGCAAGTTGATGCCTTTATAATTCATGCAACATTGCTTGCTCCCTTTGCCTTTGTACAGTGGTAGCACAAAGGCATCCTTCAGCTCAGGACGCACCTCCTCCTCAATCCACACGCGTTGCACCAAGTGGTGCAGCTCAGTCACCAACGCGGGTCCGCCGTGTGTCAACACTTCATGCGGGATCCCGTTCGCACCGGCACACTTTCCGTTCCGAGGCTGAGCAAGTGCTCCCTGCATCTCAGCTACTGTCAGCGTGTCCGCCAGACTCGCCTTCACATTGTGGTGATTGAGGCGGTTCAATGTAGGCCAAACAATCTCTGAACGGTAGTTCAAGCGACAGTCAAAGTGCTTTTGACAGATCTGCATTATGTCTGCAGTCTGTGTGCAAGTAGACCCAATGCTACCATCGCTTAGTGTCCTCAGCGGCTCCAACCTCGATGCATACACAGCCTTCAAGCAGTCAAAGAATTCCTTGTGTAGGCGACGTTTGGCGTAGCATTCCATCTGCTTCGCCTTCTCCGTCCACCATGCATTGTTTATGCGACGGAGCTCTCGGGTCCGACTTCGTCGAATTCGCCCAAACTTTCCCTTCTTCCCCTAGTTACCGGGTCTGCCACATTTACATCAAATGATGCATTCTTCTCCGCCACCGATACGTCAATCGTCGCATTGTTCTATTCAGACCAATCAGGCCGGTTACAGTTTGTGCGTCCGATGGTCTGCTCGGCAGCAGCTCTCACCCGTTCACGAATGTTTTGCTACAGGTCGCTCACTGTGGCTATGCATTGCGCATCACACAGTCGTGCAGCCATCGCCTTCTTCAGCACAATACGTTTCGCCAAAATATCGAGGGATAGAGTTAATTTTGTGCTGATTCACGGCGGGAGTGCAATACATAGGTTTACGAAAATTTATGTAAAGTTTGGTCCTTACCAATTTGTGATCGGTGCCACACTCAGCTCTACGCAGTACACGCGTCATGCGCACTTCACGCATATCTCGCTGACGTACGATGACATAGCCGAGCAGGTGAGCGTGACCACTCTGTGGGTGCATCCCAATTGCTATATCAGTCGCACCCAGTACAAACCGAGTGTTCATGATCGTCAGGCTTTGAGTGGCACACAGGGAGAACAGCCTGTCACCGTTCGCATTTGCTGAACCAATGTCATGCGGACCGATAACATCTATCCACACCGATGCATCACGCCCAACGCGCGAGTTGAAATCACCCAGCAGAAATAGTCTGTCGCTCCTCGGCACAGACATACGGGTGTTTTTATCAACCTACTGATGCATATGTTACGTGGCTGTGAACTGCCGGTGTCATAACCGACTCGTTAAGTATGGCTTCCAACTGTTTTTTTAAAAGAAGTCACGTCGACTGTGACTTGCCTACTTAGATGGTTAATAGGGGCCAGAGTAGATAGTGCAGTTGACTTGGGGCGGTTAGCGAGACTGACCGTTCTATTCAACCTGTGGACGGAGTTCAGAGGGTGTTGCTGGGGTACAGGATCGGTATTGTTTATTCCTATGACCAATCTCTGAAAATCTCCATCTGCTTAACTGTTTCAATATGTTTTTCACGCTTTCTCATGAATATAAACGTACAATTTACAATGGAATGGTTCTGCATGTTTGGCAAAACCAGAACGCATCAGTCAGACTGTTTTGTCTCTCTGATATCAGTGGATTTACACCACCGCACGTAGGGTGGAACGCAAGGCACATTTAGAATAGGTCAGCCCTCTGCTGTTCACTCGAACACACACACTGACCAGACCACATAGTTGGACTGTACTTCGCATGGCCGAGGAATATACCGTTTATTTCTTTCTTTCGTCTCACCACATTTATTTTAAGGATTCGAGGCTATCATATTAGAGCAGGAAATGGATAGGCCACGTTTGGTGTTCGCAGTTGACTCAGCTGGGCTACCGGTTGTAGCACAGCATATTATTTCCATGCGGATGATGAGGCTGACCGCCTAAGCGAAAGCTGGTCTCAGTGGCACACACATATCGGGATCTTCCACCTGAAAAGAAGCACTAATCTGCATACATGTCCGTAATTGGATATGGCAGAAACACTTCCAGAGAGTCTCAGAAAAATGTCTCATAATGGTTTACGCCTAGGACAACGTAATCACCGGGGTGGTTGCCTCCGGACCATTGGATTAGACCTTTACTTTCGAAACTATTTTAGCCCGCCCAATTAGACTACTTTGAAGTTGCTTGTCACTTAAAGTATTATAGACAGGAAGGGTTCCTTACTCACACCTCTCATTAAACTTTTAAAGTCGGTAGGCGTTGTCTCAGGCAATTGAGCATAGTACCAATTCGAAAAGAAAAGTAATTGCGATGGAGGTCATCACTGTACATTGCTTTTACTCAGGGTTAAGGGAAAACATATTCATTTGATAGGTTAACGAAAGCATTCTAGTTTGACCACTCTCGATGATCACGAAGTGAACGGAACTCTTAAACCAAACTTTGTTTAATGTGCGATTGCCAGTGCATGTGTTCAAACAACCAACGCCGAATACCTGTTGTTTAACACACACATATAATCCATAGGTAGCGCCTTAATAATATGTGGTAGCAGCAGGCAAGTTACCTTGGCAATAAATATTCCATAACCATATGTGATTCCAGTCGCAGAGCACTTATTTTCATAAAACTTCCAGACTAAGCCAAAGCCAGTACTCTAAGACCATGAGAAAGGAACTATTCCGAAGAACAGTTTCCAGCCGAATGGGCAGCTATGATCTCGGTGGCTAAATGCGATTAAGCTAACTACCTGGAATAGCATCACCATAATAGCAGCAACTAAAAGCAGGGAAACTGATAAAGTGAAACAGGCAAAACGTTTTAAGCTAACTGAAAAAAGCAAATTCCAAAATTGCGAAATGACAATCAAGAGTACAAGGGCTGCATGGGGTTAGTGAAGTTCCTAGAGTCCATACTCATTACAGTAGCCGATCCTGAGGTCTACATCCTGAAGCACGACTTATGCCAATCTGACAAAGTGGTGGATAGATTCCTTCTCGCTCTGTGCAATGTCAGACGGGCGACTACGCGACTTCATTCAACTAGATAATAAACTGGTGAACATTCCAAGAGACAACTGACAACTGTGTAATCGCAGTGCACACACCGGAACTCTAACCACCTTCATACATTCAGTTGCAAAACTTTGTACTCTGGAACGGCCAAGTCACTCGCTACAAATTGATAAATTCTTGGTTAATTCGTTGTTGTATTGAGATGTCACACGATATCCTTTAACTTTCTAAGTTGGTGATTTACCATGGCTGGCATTAGTTCAACTCGATTTCTTATAAAATCATTGATTTTCCTGGAGTACTTTGGTCCACCCTGACAGTAATGAGGCTGCAGATACTTAAGACCGTTGTGGTTTAAAACCTATCTATGTATATCTATGGTCAATCATATTTAGTAGGCACTTCATGGTTAGGTGAACGGTAGTTTTGTGCCTTGGGAAGTGAAAGACAGTGTCTTCAGTTGACTGATCAATCAGGATTCAATAACTGGGATGTAACTTGGTGATTGAAAACAGGCAACCGTTATGTACTCACACGAACTGACTCTAAATGATGCAACTGAGAAAATGACGTTGAGAATTCCAAAAACATTTGATAACCATCGATTGGTGTATTTGGTTCGCAAAGTTTGGCTTCTGACTCAAAAGCTTCGACAAGTCAAATGAACGAATAGGTAATTCTTATGGCGTATTTAACACAAATTTCGCACTTGTAACGATCTTTCTCCCAGTTTGCTATCAGTGCCATACCGAGTAAGTATTAGTTCACCTCATCTGTCGAGGCTTTCGTGTTAAAAACCAAACATTGCCCACCAAATATGCCAACTGATTACTTTCACACATCTGAACACGTAAGTTCTCGGTCGATTCCAGCCGTAAGTTATGGTGCTGAATAGCGTCTGAGATGTCGGACATTGTGCACCGCTGAACAGCCGTTAACCAGCACTGGTTCAAGCTACAACGGTGGCATCGGTTTGTTGTGTACCGTGGCGTTAGTATCATTACGGTATGCCGAATCTTTTTCACCAGTAAATGGAGATCCCGAAACGTGAGTGAGGGCTGCCAGCTTGTTCTCGAAAATGCGGCACTTACGGCACACAGACCAGCAATTGTGTAAAACAGAGTGTTCTCATACTGAAGGCTACATTGCTTTAAGTTCAATACTAGATGATGGAGCTTACGGCCATGTGTCACAATCAACGGTCATTCGTAACAGCCACACACTTGGAACGACGATTATTGGGAAGCAACAAGAACCAATCCAAGGAGAATTAGAGGAGTGTCGGACAAAGTGTTGTGTTATAGTTTTTATGCTAAAACCATATTCATTAATATCAGGGATTAGGAATACTACAATGGGCTAACAGTCGGGAACGTCGGTCATCATTCGCTATTTGACACTCACCCGTGTCACTTCCAACAATCGATCAAAGGGGTTTTCTTTGTTGCAGAGCTACCTAAGCGATGAGTGTAGCACTGTTACCTGATACTGCGGTGAGATTTCACACTAGTTCCCATGGATTACATGCTCATCCCACTTGAAGTGTGGAAGGTAAGACACTAGTAATTTTCTGTTCTTTTGATGTCACTTGTTATTAACACAACAGAACCTCACTAGCAGTGTCCCAAATTAGTGTCCACTTATTTCAGCTTTGGACAGTGTACTGTGAAGCAGCTGCCAGCCTCGCTCCACTTCACTCCACACAACACAAAGTGGCGATCGCAACAGCCATGGACTTTTGGACCCGGGTGATGCCCACGGTACTACGCCTTTTGTCCATCTCGGAAGATGTGAGTATATATGACGAATACTACCAATAAAGTACATCAGATAAAACGGTTGCATTAGGCTATGGTTTTTTAAACAACTACTCTGTGATCCTACACTTGCAAATGGGAGCATATTGCTCGGTTGATGGCCTGGAGATGAAGGATTTTTGGATAGAACTTTTGCATCAAAGTAGTGGAAAGGGGGTATTAGTAGAAAAAGTGGGTGAATAAGCAGTCGTTCAGTCTTAAAAGTTGGTAGGGCAATGATGAGAACAGAACTCGGAGTGAACAATTGCAGGGTTTGATATCTCAAGGCACCCGTAAGCCGAACATGTAGTACGCAAATTCCATCGCGCACAGAAAACTTATATCTGAGCAAACTCGCAGACTACCTGTAAGAGTAAGAACTTGCTTGCCTGCCGGTATGAGTTGTAGGTTGGACTAAAATTTAACCAGAAATAAGGACGACGTAAAACAAAGGCGGTGGTGGCCACCAGAGCATGATCCGTGTGGAGAAAGTGCACTAAACATTAGTACCAGATTGGAAGCATGCATTTATCGAGCGAGTGAAGTCACCTAGGTGTGTGCTGAGTTAAGACAACAGGTTCCAGAAGCTAAGGTGACAAGGTGCTTAAGTAGTTTAACACAACGAACCCGATTGTTAAAACACATTTGGAATAGGTTGGATCTATCACAGCTGAACCGTCCAGCAGGCCTAGAGATTGGAAATAAAACGGGATGGCTAGGTCGTTTGTTCATATTCGTCAACAGTGCATAATCCTTCGGCTTTGTGAACGATTAAGACATTTGTTTATCATGTTTTAGTCCCCGCTGTAGTTTGGAATGCGATTAATGAAGTGCCAATGAAAGGACGCAAACTAATTCCGATTCCGCGTGAATTAACCACCAACCTAACTTCCTAGCAAGCACGTTATCCGCCTAGGCTGCCTGGATCCTAAGAAGTCCGACACTTTCCGTCCACATATCCACGGACAGACTAGACTAGACTAGACTCCGCTTTTTAGCTTCAGCTATCGTCCTAAACCAGATAGAATAGGTGCTGTGGACAAAGATTATGTGGTAAACGACCTCCTCGAGTGTGTTGGTAGCAGATCAGTTATTCGACTTCATTCACTATTAGGCAAGCACCCACTCCGGCTACTGCTAATGATGCTTGGAAGACGATACGAGACGTCGGTAGCTTTCCCTTGTGTGGTAGGAGTCCGTTGTTTGAGCAAAGTCGACCAATGGGTGATAGGCAAGTCAACAGCTAAGCAGCCGTTGTTGATGCGAATTGATCACGCGTGGATGAGATGGACGGAGTAATCAGCATCGGTCCAGCCTAAAGGAAACAAACCATAGCTGAGTCAGGAACAATGACGAAACAGATTGTCTGAAACACCCACCGGCGGAAGAAACATTTGCGCTGGGAAGAGAGACTAAGGTGATACGATCTGTTCGAGCAGAACTCACAGCGGACAAAACAGATGGGTTAGAATCCGATCAAAGCGAGTAGAACGTACGGAACAATGAACACAGACAGACCATGGGGGAGTCACAAATGGAAAGTGAACAATGTTGGACATTATAAGTAATTATCATGCGCCAGTTATGTACAGTATGAATGGTGCCTTGCTTTATAGACAGCAGATTCTTATCGTTGCCAAGAGCTCGTTTTGAATCTCAGAGGGTCTACACCTACACTTTACTTGGGTGATATTGGTCCATCGCTCTATCAAGACTGCACAGTACCCTCGACCCACCCTGTGCTTGGCTCGAGACATTACAGGATATGGTTCGCGACCAGCACCATTGGTAGTTTTGCAGTTGTCTCCTAGTCGGATCGTCTGGATACAGAGTAACCTTCAGAGTAAGGTCAATGACGACTAAGGACAGTGAAAATTAAGAGGAATATGCGACGCCGATGCAACTCTATCTTCGGGCTACAATCAGTTGCTTGTACCTATGCGGTGTTGATAAGTGTAGGCATCATAATGCTTGACGTTTGTTTAGGCCTACGATTTGGCTTGCGCCTGATAGCCAAACTAGTCCCATTGTGCTCGGAGCATGCGGCCTTATCAACCTTACGGATATCCAGTTCCCAGTGATAACAGCTAATAGTGACAGAAGCACAGACTCCGCACACTGCATGCAGCAAAAGTCTCATTTAACGGAGGCGCGGTGTCTTCGGGTCGCTTAGGTAAAAGCTTTGCATACACATGTCTTGAGACGCCTGTCTAGCATCTAGATGTTACAAGTTCTAGGTAGCCAACCCAGAGAGTTAGTTAAGTGCTTTTTAGTCCAGAGAAAATCAGCAGCGGAATAAGGCATAGCTAGAGTTAGAGCACAGGCTCAAAAATAAGTCAGGAATGAACCCACACTAAATGAAGCTTGGAGCGACGAGGCTTAGATGGCTTTCTCGTTAGCCAGTTGTATAAAGGCGCCAAGTGGAACATCTATGCTAATTACGGAACACATCTGGAATAAACCTCAACTCTTGTCTAAGTCTCGGTTAGTTCTCCGAGCTGAGCAATCCGATTGCCCAAACTGCTCAGCTCACAATCGCATCAAGCAATATGACAGATTATTTGCTGAACACCGAGTTACCTGTCGGAAATTGTACGCCAGCAAATGATAGAACAGCTAAACCTGGAGATCGATCGCATCGTGGCAAAGAGAAGCGAAAAGAAAAGTTGTGCAAATTACTCAGCCACAAATGCCTAGATTTCAATGACGACTGGGTCAGAAAACTGTACAACCCCCCGCTCAGTAATGCGGAACTACAAATCCTCATCAATGGACTTAACTACAACTTCAAAGATGCTGAACCCACAGAATTCCTCAGCAGCTTTGAAAATGCTTTACAGTCCAATGGAATTGAAAAGAGACTGAAACGCAAATAGGGTATGTCGTCGTTCCAGTACTGACACACAACAAACAAATCAATTCCCTGTCAAAACAAATAGAGAACGCCGTAAAAGCCTTGAAAGCTGACGAAAGCGTCACAATCCCGCCCGTATGGCTATTATAGTGAACAAAACGGATTGTATTAAAAAAGTGTCCTCTGACTGATACAATAACCTACCACCTCGTGAATAACGATCCAACAATGCAGTTAACGAGTAAAGTGAATAGGACACAAAATGATTTTTAGGAATTGAACCGAGTCATAAAGGAACAGCACGATAGAATAAAGGCTTGCGAATCAAGCATTGCACAATTTTACGGACTTCCGATGGTACACAAGGAAGGTGCACCGCAACGATCAATCGTGTCACTTCCAGGTACTCTAACTTACAACTTAGCCAAATAGTTATGGAAGCGCCTCAAAAATCTGACCAACGACTCGCAATACTCTAAAAACAATGCTTATCGTTTCTGGAGAAGCTCAAATACCTGTGAATAGATGATGAAGAAATAACGATGTCCTTTGAGGTCGCCGCTTTGTTCACTTCTGTCAACTTAACAGTAGCGAAAGAAAGGCTCAGAGAACGCCTGAACAGTGACAAACAAAGCATTGGGATCTGATGACCGAAAGCTTTTCGACTTGCGTCTTATCACATACTTCAAATACAATACTCCTACGAGTAAGTGGAAAGAGCCCCAATGGGATCCCCCACATCTCAACTCATTGCGGAGGTTGTCACGCAGAAGTCGGAAGGTGACTTGCCCCCAGTCTAAAGTTCAAACTTGTGGATTCGAGACGTTGACGATACCTTTGTGATACGCAAATGCAACCAATCGCACAAGCTTTAATGGACAATGCGATGGGTGGCATTCACTTAACCATTAAATCAAAGATTGAAAGCTTTCTGACGTTTTGATTACCAGTAAAGTGGACGGCAAACCTCGGTTTACAAAAACACAACATGCACACTGACTAAATCATAAAATTCAACAACAGTTATTCCAAATGCCACAAGATAAGCTTCATACGGACTTTATTCCGAAGAATGGAGTCACACTGCGTTACCACAGAAGCAGCATGGAAAGAAGAGTACCATCTATTTACTTCCTTCAGGCACAATGGGTGCCCATGCAATTTAGTCGGAAGGTACATCAATCCCAAAACCACCATTATCACAACTAGGTCGACACCAACGCAAGTAATAGTCTTGCCGTATGTGAAGAACGTCTTAGGACTGACTGCCTAACTCTTGAAAAAAAAACCAACTAATGGTTTCTCACAAAGTAACAGCCACAGTGAAAAGGACTCTATCTCAAGCAAATAGAAAGTAAAAGCACATAAGCAACGAAATGTTGTATACGGGATACTATTCCAAAACCGCGAGACAATCTGCGTGATCCAAACAGAACGGAAATTACCTACGAGGATACAGGTGCATGAATATGCCTTCGGAAATCATTACACGCCGTCTTTGAATTTGTTGCATGTCGATAAATAACGCAGCTTTGCTTGGACTGGAACGCAGATTAGGACACATAGGGTCACAAGAAAAGGAAGGGAATTTTTGGAAGCTTGGTTTTTGACAGAGAATTCAGTAAACCGGCGCAGTCACCTTGATTCTGTATACCAACAGTGACCTTTACCGACACAAATGAGCGATTTAACAACTAACAGAACGGCCGTTGTAACCATAGTCTGCAAGTTACATGTTCATTGCACTAATACAATCGCAAAAGCTATCCAACATCGCATTAAGCTTCACACCGACCAATAGAGGTCGTTCGTGCATCCCAGAGAAACAACCAATCCGATCGAAGCTTGGCTACTAACTCTTGAAATGTATATAAAGAACAGCCCGTAGCCGACGGTATCCGCCTCTGGATTTGCTCAAGGCTCAGTACCTGCTGACCAGATACTTTCTGTGTAGATGCCACAACAATTGGTGGCGTAAGGTCCTTTAGCAGACAAGTTGATCATCTGGGCTAACCAGCCCAGACTTCAACCGGCAACCCGAACTACCGGTATTCTGACTAAGTGCAAACCAGCTATTGTTTGGAGGCGCGAAATTAGGCCCGCACATCCCATTCGACTAACTTTTTGAATGGTTTAAACGACCTTCTATGTGCTCACAATTCCCACCTGGAACTATATCTCACTTACTGGCATGTTGCGCTTGGCAAAACCAAAGTCTATACAGTTGTGGTATGTGAAACAAAGGAGACCAAAATGTGCTGCACTTCCCTCATGTCCCAGCTGATATTGACAAATGGGCTGCATACAGACGGCTGTTCAATTGGACCTAAACAGCCAGCAATGCGTCGATCCTGCAGTTGAGAGAGATTTCCGCTGCTGCTTCCAAGCGATTGTTTCAGCGGCATTGCCAGACGTGTAGCGTCAAAAGTAAAAATGCAAGCTGAGACTAGTTAGTACGGTGATGGTAAGAATACCGTAGACTCGTATTTCAAAGTTTCGTTTCACTTCAATACCCAGGGATTCGACGTGCAAGTGCAGCTGTTATCGTGCATAACTTTGCTCACGAACGCTGCACTCCGGCAGAGGAACTGATAGGAACCTGATAGGGGATTTCGGGTGGTAAAGGGCCGTAAGGCACTGTGGTAACACGGATGCATGTAGCACAGTTTCAACAGAAGAGCACAAGTAACCACTCACTCAATGAACTATGGACTTGGGGTTAAAAGTCAATAGAAGCGAACGTATGTTCCATTTAATTCTTCTTCAGGCTTGTACAAATATATGTGGAAGAATACAAACTGGTTGAGACAACACTAGGGTTGGTAAATTACTTTCAGTTCACGATCGCTGCTCAAGTACAATCGCAGTCCGTTAAATAAATAAATAACATGTTTATTTTCGACTAAGCGAGGCACGCTCGCACAGGTATGATTATGTTAAGAGTACAAAATGTGATCAGTTAATGTGCAAGGGAACAACAGCCTTGTCACATTTGTTGATATAAGAATGTCAGTATGTGTGCAGGTTGGTGTGTGTAGCTGTGTTTATAGGATTTTTAAATGATTTCCTGCACTTATGATCGTGTTTGCAAGTGTCGCCAGTGTTAAAGGGATGCCTGATGTCTATGAACTTGAAGCGGTTGTCCACTTAATCAAGGGGTGCCTTACTTAGTGGCAAGTCACAATCGCCACATCACAGTGTTGTTAAACAGAGGTTTGTGGCTTTTTATAGAGTGGTCGCTTGCCAGGCGAAAACCCAATACTTCCTGGAACCCTGCCGTCGAACTATTTGCCGGAACGGGGTGAACGCAGTTCACCAAGCTGGCACCACGAGGAGGTTGTTCGGCTAGCCAGCCACAACTGCGGTGTTCACAAAGCTCTGTCACCAGATGTCTTAGTCTTAACGTTTAAGATAACGGTTTCTGAACGCACAATGGCGACTCGTACAGCCGAAACGCGATGGCCTCAGCTGATTCATATGAACGGCTACAGGCGCACTTAGCTGGCTTGTCCGGTTGCTGGTAGGTCACTTTAAATGACTCCGCTAACATGGTTGCATAGCCAGTGTTGCCGAGATGCGTGTCTACGGCTGAACTGATTAGTTTTCGACAATCAGTCAGGAGCCAGCCCGGGTGGTGTTCTCTAATCCAGTCAGACAGTCGCCTTGTCGTTCAACAAATATAACCTGCTCCACATGAACAGGAGAACGAGTAGATGCACATTGTTTTGGTGCCGATAGGTCTCATATCTTTAGAGCTAGTTCTTATCATTTGGCTAAGCGGCGAACTTGATTTGTATTTTAGCTGCTGGGAAAGCGTGTCTGAGAACAAGGAGGACCGCGAGCCGCGGAAGATACATGAACGGAAAAGAAAGAAGGAAGGAGTTGGTAGAAGCTTGTTTCGCCTATCCAATCCGCCGTGCGTTGCTGACAAGGCGACCGATTTGGGACCCCATAGCGGCCGAAGTTTGTTGCAAAAATCATGGCTCTGTAAGGAGAAAACACTACTATAACTATCAAAGCTACGGAGGAACATGAATAGGGTAATTAAGCAAATCATCCTCACAAAAGTTAGTTTCCACACAGTACGAATACGGGGAAGGTCAGAAGATGGGGTTAGCGGTTTGGAGAACGAAATTGTGGTGCCACTACAATTTTGTTCCCCAAACCGGAGGATCAGGACTTTTATCCGAGCTCCAACCAATGAGCACGTTGGTAGCTGTCAAAGTGCCAAAGGTCACCATCGCTTATAGCCAAATTGATCGAAAAGATGCGAAAACTATCGCACATATTAATGTCCAAGCAAGCCATAACGGAATCCATTATCCAATGTCCTGCAAAGAATAGCTGGAAGGTTTCCAGCAAAAGTAAATCGGCCGGTGGTGGTCCCCAAAATGCCAGGTAACTTAAGTGGAGGGTATCCGAATTCACACCATCAGTATTCGCACGTTCCCCCTAACTAGTTCTATACTTAACACCACACGAAATAGTGTACAGCAAACTATTTTTAAATTGCCATTCATCGTTTAATCAAAGCAGGTATATATGCGGAATCGCTGCGTCTCGTTTCTCCAGTGAAACAGTGAGATATAATACCTGTGTTTATCCTTCAGTTCATAGTTGTCAGTGGGAGATTGCTGTCGGTGATCGAAGAACTCCTGGAGTGCCAATGCTCGACAGTAACAAAAGTGAGTCTCTAATGTTAAATACCGTACTTTGGAAAGGAGTAGAAATTTAAATATGCATTACCCCGCTGACGTATTGTCGAAAACGCTAAAAAAATTAGCTATGACATGTTAACAGTGCTCGTTTTCAATTTCCCACGTGGTATATTATAAATGTATGACTCATTATAGGTGAGCTTTAATTCTCTATGAGTAATTGTGCTTGGGATCTAACAGTGGAGAAATGCAGATCCAACCATTTTTTAAACTGCCTCACTATATGCTACGTGCCGTAGCAATAAAAGTCCAAACACCACGAGTGCATATGTGGACAGGCATCGGAGAGGCGTACTTAGAGATCTTTCATGTCCGGTTTTAAAGTTAAGTAACGCAAGTGAGTTCTTGCAACTTGACAGGTCGGTATTGTCGAAAATAATCACCCTCTCTTATATACAATGAGAATAATGATTGATCCCCGTGTAGTCTGCTACATCAGGCTGCGTAAAATATTTTACTGACCGAGAATGTAGAGCACTTGAAATGTGTGCAATTATAGAACCTAGAATGACCTAAGTGAGACATCTGTGTCATCAATGAGATGAAAAAGGTGACTAATCCAGCCTTCCCACTCCATTTAACATCACTTTAGTTCATACCAATCTGGATTCCAATGCTGTGCGGAAGACAAAGGCAGGCAAGTTTGACTATTCTTTTCACAACTTGTCCAACCTTGTGATATATCGTATACATGAGTTATCGTAATTTCATGTACAAGGTAGTTAACAATACTTGAAAAAAGGCTTAATTACAGAAGACTTGTGCGACTGTGTTTATGCTTGGGTCGGCCCACGGATTGAAATACAAATTAATTTAAGTGAACAGGGAGAAGTGTTAGGCTTAACCGAAGCCACATAGTAGTCCGAATCGGTCCGGTGAGAACACAACTGTTGTAGGTTCTACGGTGGCATTGATGTCTGCCATCAACCCATGCAGCTGAAAGCGGATGGTGAAAGTTCGACTATTTACAAAGCACAGGTGAACCTGAAGAGCATGAATCGCAAGTGTTTTGGTTGAAAGGAATGCAATGAAGTGACACGCAGCAAGCCAAGAGTCACAAACGCACATCAGGGAGTCAAACACGCGGAGTGGAGTAGCTAGAGGAATGGAGGAAGCAATGCAAGCAAAACAAGCAAATACATCCGAATCGGTAGCTTTACAACTTTTATACTATCAGTAAGGACCTAACTTTGCCGAAAAGAAACATCTTTTAATTAGGAAAATAATCTATTCGTGAAAATGAAACCCGGGTGTGTTCAGTCGAGAAACGTACTAGCGTGATAAGACCAAGTGTTTCGTTGTTATTTCGTGCCCACCCGAATCACAGCGCATCGTAGTGTAGGTAGTAGCGCCGTGGACAGATGATCCATAAAAACACTTAACTTCGACGAGGATGCGGCACAGATTGTGCGAATATTTCCGATATCGGAAAATTGAAATGCAATTAAAAGTTTCACAAGCACTTGACCGCATGGCAACGTATTGTGGTTATTGAGTTTGTGGACAGAAGTAATACCAATTCGCATTTAAGTTGGCTTTCGTCAGCGCTGGTATATCGAACTGATTCTGAGACTTTCTGGGTTGTCATTAGCGTTGCTAATTTTTGACTCAGTATCAACATATAGTCACTTTTATGTCGTTCTTATTAAATTGGCATTTCCACATTCCTTTCGACGCAAATGGGAAGTAGGATCAATGACATTAGAAACGGGTGTTGGCCCACTGATAAACAACATATGTGCACCTCGTGATCTGCTCTTAGGACCTGCCTTCCGGATTGCACGGTATTTTATCTTCTAAAGGTAAGTCTCCTGGAGGTTTGAAACTGTCTCTAACTGTGACAGCAGTCTGCGCTACTCACATGTAGTGCATCGTCGCGAAATGACTGAAAATGGTTAGGAAAATATTATGACCAATTAATGTCGGTAGAGTTATAACCAAAGAAGCAGCCAGTCCCCTTAAAAGCAAATCATTCTCAATAAATAGATCAAAACAATGGTCTAATAGAGGCGACAAGCAGAGTGAAGACCCCATCAATGTAACAATATAACTGATAATAAAATACAATCGACATGAGCTGTATTTTATCCCCTTTGTCTATTTTCAGCTGCCGGGAAATATGCTGAAACGTTTACAGAAAATTATAGAGTGGGCGGCCCCAGAGCCATGTACACGTATGCTGCTGCTCTTGTCCATTTCGGAGGCGAACGATCAACCACCGAGGAATACAATGAGCAGTGAACATCCCGAATCAGAGCCAGAAAAGTTAGAGAAAATCCGGTTACACACGACGACTCCCTCACTTCCAGGTTTGTCGACGTCATCGCTCACGATGTGTCAAGCAAATGCGCTGATGGGTTGTAATCCAATACCAAAAGTGGCGCGAGGACTGGCGGAGGAGGAAGGTGCTTCCGGGGCCATCCAGTGTGCAGGACATGCACTGGCATCAAATGCACCATATGGAAACGTCGGAATTGGCACAGGGGTCGGGATAGGCGCAGGTGCATTAGGCACCGATTTACTGACAAGCCGACTTGTGGCCTGGCTAAAAAAGCACATATTCGTGCTTGGTCGCAATGAGGATCAACATTCCACAGCCACACACATATTTGTGCACTAGAACGGCTCATAAAAAATACAAAAGAAAACTGCAGGAGTGGGTGCCACCAGGTTTTACTACCCAGAACCATGTAATTTTGCAGTGCCAGAGTTGAAGCTACCTGTACTTGATTTCTTATCCATTTACCATTACGTTGTTTCACTTAACTGTTCCGCAAGTAGAATATTTCACACCAATGTACTTACCAATATGCTGCAACAGGCAGGGAGTTAAATGACGTGTCCTAGGCAGAGTGAGAGCACTTTTAACAACAAGTATGGTAGAACGGGAAGGGACTATTTATGGCCACCCACCTTTGGATTATGCGTGCAAGAGTAGACAGACAGCGAGTGCCTCACGACCACTAACTCTTAAGAACAAGTGTGTTACCCCCGGGATCGCGGACGACAGGCCGGTCCTTATTGGTTCTGTATGCGATGAAGAGGAAGTTGACGTAGTAGCGGAACAAATGTATTGATTGCTTTGGTTGTAGCACGCTTTACGAGTAGTAGAAGCACAACTTGCTGACACTGAGGAGGCAACCAATCAGATGCAAGGGCATAAGAGACTAACCGAACGACCGTCAAGCAAGCGGGCGTGCAAACGACTGACAAATCAGCCGACCAATTTACCTTGTCAACCACAGGCGTGATAGAAGGATTACAACCTCCATCTGCACCATGATGTCAACACATCAGTACGCGACAGTAGCTGAATGGTTGCACCTAGGAAACGACCAAAAGTTCCCACAATGACGATGCGTTAATTGCTGCTGCTTATGAAAGAATACCAAAGCACGAGGTGGGGGTAGACATGAGCATCGGTTTGTCTTCACTTGTTATATGTTCTGTTCAAGGTAATATTTGATTAGAAAGGATGGTGTACAGTCGTTTCGCAGCGACTAAGATCTCAGAACGAGTTATAGATCCCTAGAGTACACGCACTCTTTACAATGATCCGCGATTCGAGCGTCTTCCGTCGAAGTCGGGAACATTACAGGTATGCACAAACGAGGGTCACCGGGGCAGTGAGCTAACCCGAGTAGTCTGTATTTAGCCTAGTAACCACCACATATTACCCACATATTATTCTCCTTCAACTTTAAACACGGAAATATGTTGAACTGGAGTTATTCTTCAACAGATGAATCTATTTTAAAAACTTGATCGATCAAGCTAATTACTTGAGCCTACTTGTGGATACCTGCATCCGGCACAGTCCACTTGAGGTAAAGCGGTTGTCTAACGCATCAAGGGATCGTTTAGTATCGTTAGATTCAATATCTGGTATATATAAGTGATGAGTAGATATCCTGAAAAATTTACACAACGAACCCGAATCGTTCAAGGGTATTATTGGGGTAGGGAATAAACCAGTATAAAACAAACAGCCCTTAACAATATTCATACATCATCAGTTAAAAACAATAGCTGCAAATCGGAACTGAGTGGGATCACAGGAATACAAACAGCGGGACGGAAAACCAACAAGGAATGGATGTAAGGGAGGGTACGAAGATATAAGGTGTAATATAGCGGTAACAAGATAAGCCGAATACATGTGGGGGGGGATAAATAATCAAGTTCATTTACAGTGATCAGTCATGAAAATAGCTGGTCGATGGGCCCGAAAAGCTTACCATTATAAGCAAAGTAATTCGTTTTCTAACCTCATAGAGTATGCTCTGCGTCCATCACGGAAGGTTAGCATGGAAGCCGTGTTTATGGGTCCAGTTCAAGTGGAGTCTGTTGGTTATCGCTATGAACAGAGGGTACCAAGTTCAGAAAAACGAATTTCACAACATACACATTCTCTCGGGTTTCTTGGAACAAGAAACCATATTTCATGCATGGTAAGCAGCTAGCGGCCGATGGTACAGTATCTGTTCTAAACAGGCTGAAGCTTTCGGGAAAAGAAAGAGGTTGAATCGCGTTACACACCAGCTGATACAAAACAGCACCCACAGTATACGGTGAGGGCTCTGTCTTGAGAATGAGAGTCATATCACCTTACGTTTAAATGTATGTAGTGAAAGTAGATTGGATTAGCTTTCGCTTGACATAGTTAAACGCTGCTTCGGATTTGTGCTGATCTCGGAAGTTTTCACATTACGCTTGAGCAAATCAGTCAATGACTGATGATTAGCAGCGCAGCATCCTTAGCAGTTTACCATGGTGAGAAAACAGAAAACGGTGACATTGTTCAATCCTCGATAATCATCAGTAGTGTGGAAATTAGGGATCTTTTACATTGTCTTCTAAAGGTTACCTACTGATGCGATGTGATGTGTCTACCTGTCATTTAAAGCTATATTGTAGCGGAAACGATGCGGAGGGCGAGGGCAGAGCGTGTATTGTCACAAGAAGGTGCCACTGACAACTCATAAACCAGTACAGATTTGTACCGTGTTTACTTCCCACTACGCAACGCGAATGAGGATATATATGACGGGCCATTCCAAGTCCCTACGACGTTGGGCTTCAAGAGCAGCCCTCCATCTTTCCATTCCGTATCTCCGGTTCGCTACATCCGATTCTGGCAGGCCATAAGTCGCTCGAAAGCTAGCGATTTGCTCTCCTGCGGCTGCATCACTCGACTCGCGTTCATTCCTGTAGGATTCGCTAGGGGCACGCTGGTCTGATTCATTGCGTTCTCGACAAATACCTCCTCCATTGTTCTGGGCCCAGGCTGGTTACCAGATGCCGCCCGTGATCCGCTGTCGGCTCGATCCGCAACACTCGCAGAGCGTTGTTTCGTCACATCCATTGCGCCCGTTGTTAATTCTCTACAATCCCGTTTTTGTTATCGTCCGGTTCACGAGTAGTCACTGGCTTCCCCCGCTTTACAATATTTCTTGGCTTTTTGAGACGAATTGAACGCTGTTGATGCAGATTCGTGTTGGAAGCGAAACATTTTCAGGTTTTAACATTCGGTGTTGCTAATCGTTTGTACATAGTACCGCAGTCCAGTCACGGCTTTGTTGTATTAATCCGGTGGGCACGCGTTTCTCAAGCTTTCTAGCGTCGCATCACTTACAATTATTAAAATCTTTGTTTTCATTTCATAGTTGATCGTTCAGCTGCCGAAACCTTCCATGTTTTTACGCCGTTCTCATAGTTTGTGTGCTTTTCAGTCAAGGTCCTTTAATGAAAGGAGTGAAAGCAAAACGGCACGGCATTGTGTAGAAACAAGATTAACGAAGAGAAGATACAAAAAAGTATGAAGACGTTCTGTTAGAATTCATTAAAAGTACTTCCATGGCCGAAGTGGCATGTATGAGTGATGATAATCATACTGAGACCAAGAATGAAGTCCATACTATAAACGCTGATGCCCGAGAAATAGAAAAAGACATTGGCAGCGTTGATGCAGTGAAAATGTCTGTAATGCTGATGTAAACGATGCGTGCGAAGTATTGGAAAGATAGCCACTGCCTGGCACGATAAAGCATACATGGACCGATTTCACCGGTGTCTTTCTGTGGCTTATTAAGAGTGAACATGAAATTCGCATAATGCTTGCCGTCTGGCCTCGTCTGCCATGTAGCGTCTTGATCAAGGAAGTAACGCGACCCGAAACGAACAGCAGGTGAAGCTAAGAACTAACAACAGACTATTTGTTCGGGATTTGCTGAACGGAGAGCTAAGATTGGTGCATTCTCTCTTTCAACACAAAGGTCAAATTTTGCTTCTGCTGCAGGCAGTTTTCAACGGGACACTTTAGTTTCGCGACTGGTGGTTTTAAAAAGTTGTGGAAATTGAATCCAACAGTGTATTAAATGGTGTGAAAGTATAGCTAGGTTACTGGATATCACCAGGTTTCTCACCAAGCAGAACATGGCACTGCGTGGTAAACGAGAAGAAATCCAGCTTAATAAAGAAGCCGGGAAAATAGAGGGAAGTTATTAGAATGGATACATATATCGGCCAAATATGAGTCGGAAGTGAGCCAGACACCACAGCCACAATGAACGGGTCATACTTCGATCGATCGGTAGTCGACCTTCACCCAGGTGAAAAAGCCAGCAAAAAGGTTCCTTGTGAAATGGTTAGTAAGTCACTGTGCTAACAACCGGGAAAAACAGCCTGGCCGTATGTGATGACCGGTCGATGGGCGCCGTATTGCTATCGCCACAAAAGCTGTCATCGCCTCATGACTGGCTTACAACAAACCCGTAAGCTTTGGTTAGGCTGCTTTCGCTACTAAAAGCGAATCATAGTGCCAGGAACACATTGTAATGTTACAGCGTTATTCGCTTTACCGTCTCAATCGCATGTGTGTTACAGCTGAAAATCCAACCTTCAAGGGTGCATAACAACAAATTCTTGACTTGACTTGACGTGCCAATGCTCTTAGACTTCAGTTTGTCTCGACACACTGGTGGCACCATTAGACAGCACACCAATATACTCATGAATGCAATTATTGCCCTCACAGTCAGACAATTGCTAGTTGTACAAACTGAGCAGGCCTTCGCTGGTTTTTATCATATAAAATGGAGAATATATAATTTTATTCATTTATTTACTTATATGTACACGAAAGTGTGAAATGTCTGCAAATATCAACGAATTGGATGTTCGAAGTGCCCTCCGTCGTTTTGGCTACAGAGAACTATTCGTCGGATGGTGTTGGCCATGATGCTAACAAATATCAGACATTGATACTGTTAACCAAGAACCTACGGGACACAATCCTTGAAAACCAAAAGGGCCCAATGATCTTTCGGTCAGGCTACCCAGACCAGACAATGAACTTCACGCTATGTTTCACACGTTAAGCGCTACATTGCCGTGGGTTGCTTGTTGCCCAAACATCTTGCGTACCTTCGCAATGCAGAGGGAACACTTCCTCATTGGTGAACAAAATGGAATGCACTTCTACTGTGTAAAAACAAACGGGCGAATTCCAGGCACTTCTGTGAATCGCATGCTTTCAACAGTCGCACCTGCAGTGCACTGTACCGCCGGGATTACTTTACCTTCAACATCCAATATACAGCATCCGGTGTGGTGATGCAATGTTATGTGAGTTGCCGAGTGTTGAGCTGGCCGTTACTGCATACCCTTTGCGTAACCTCGCAAGCTGGTACTTCATCTGTAACGGTGCGAGGCGGGCCACTTTGTTTGATGCTGCAAAATTCTAATTCGTTGATATTTGCAGATACTTCACACAGTGCAGCTTTGCATCTGAGC